TTCTTTGGTTTTTGATACAAACATAAAAATCATTCTTTTCTATGTGGTTCGAGAAATAGTTGGTATTGCTTAGCGAAAGGTTCATTTTTCTTTTTGTGAAAATCATTAGTTTTCCAACCATTTTTTCATCTACTGCTTAGCGAAGTATAAATTGCCGGTGTGTTCAGTGACCTTGTATTTTCATTAAAATTTTAATGAAGTTCTTCTGCCGTCGAAAAATTTTATTGAAATGTTTATGCTACCAAAACATTTTAATGAAACTCCTGTTAAAAGCTTTTTCATGAAAGTTCTGGTACTTTCATTAAAAAACAACGCTTTAATGAAAGCTTGTTTTAATGAAAGTCACCCAACCCGTGCATTGTAATGTACCGGAGAACAGGCCAATATAAATGTAAAAATTACTTATTCAAATTGTAAATTAGTTTTGAGTAAGCTAATAAATGAAGATCAGTTTACTTATGACGTAAATTTCCCATTTATAACATTTTGGAAGAAAGTGTATGCTGCTCCAGGGGAATAAAGGGCAATTTCGTGTCCAGCGCCGTGTATTGTAATGAAGGTGATTCCCTTAAATTTTGTTATATATCCAGCGACTTGATCCGGTTTAGCTGTATGATACCATGCTTGGAATGGAGATATAACGGTGAGATTCATACCGTATAGCCAATATTGAGTTCCCACAGTTGCACATACTCCGTCGTCATCACCACTGAAGATAATAATTTTTAAGTCAGGTTTCTTATCTAACAAGTAAGTATAATGCGAAGTCATATAGGTATTCTGACTTATAATGCTATATTCATTCGCTATCAGAGTTGAACAATCGATCCAATTGTTCGCTTTGTCATCTATATTATTATGCGGAGGAATTTTAGACGATCGAACATGAATAGCTTTTTGCACATTTGACAAACCAAGATATACCACTGTGAACGAGTTGACACATGCTCGAAACTTGACGGTCGAATTATTTTTCAATGCGGATACTTTGTTCCGAAGATACCATAACGTTTCGCGTTGATTTTGAGCAGACGTACAGTATGGAGCGTCGAGTGCCTAAAATAAAATTACCTGTTCGTAAGAGGAGGATAGGAAAGATTGTCTAGATTTTAACAGCAGATTTATCATCGAATTCTTTTGTATTATGATTTTGCTAAATTATATTAGATCAACTTACATAAGGATCAAGTCCACGCGTATAACTAGAATTATATAGCTGTGGTGCTACAAGGTAATTAGCCTGGGTATCGTATTTAATACACATAGGGTCATTCCATGGCTGAAAGCCAGTTCCAGTTTCGGAATTATATGGATCCCGATCATAAGGATCAATACAATATCGAACTACATTATCCCATGTTGGTTTATCGATGAGAGAATGTGCCCAAAAAGCTTGAACATTTCCAACGTATTCTAAAGAATATGGATCGTTAAGAGGATTACCAATCATGAGACCTTTGAGATTGATTTGAGTTGAATCATTTGACTTCATCTTTGCATTTCTATCAACTATCTCTTTTGCTAATGTGGGTACATAAGAGATCATTCACTATGAAAATCTACACAGAAATTGAGTCTTCAGAATGATACCCAGCTCTCGGCCACGATCATTTGTCAATAGGAGGACGAACGTACCATTCTTGGCACTGCCACTAGTCCTCATCGATTTTTGTGGATGTCGGTAAAGGATTGGTTTGAATGCCCTCCGTATGATTCCGAACTAAGGTATAACTCGTGCGTTCTGTATTGTGGAAATTTGTTAAAAAATACTTGTATTGCAAAATAATTATCTTGTGCGGTTTGCAAGTCAGTCCATTCAAGATAATCACGTTCCGGAACATCACTGTAACTGAAACCAGTACCAACAGGACTTTCGACAAACAAAAAATTAGCTACACGATTCCATGAATAAGGATTTTTTAGCAATGTAACGTTATCGGGTTGAACACGAAATGGTCCGAATTCTTCGAATAAACTAATTAAACCGGAACATCCGGGTCCTCCATTACTCCACCATATTAGTGGTTTGCTCTCAGGTTCACTTTGACTTTCGACAAACCAATAGAAGATATGTTTTGTGCTGTCATTAATCGTTAAATATCCGGAGAATTGCCGAAAATTAATTTCGGAAGAGAGTATACCTGGTAACGAATCGATGTAGTCAGCTTTAGCTTTAGTAGTGTAGCCATCGAGACTTTTAGAACTACGACGAAATTTTTGGAATGGAGGTTGGGCTTTTGCTTGATTCGTTAGTACTTCTTCAAATGGTGATGTGGGTTTTCGTCCAGATAATGTAGAAAAATTTATACCATGAACGATTACATGAAAAACCAAAAATAACAATAAAAGTATAAATCGTACCATTTCAGTCGATCACTTACGGTATTTTGTATTCAACTAAAACTGACAGTGTTATACATATTATCGTGTTTATAACTATATATTATCGTTTTTATAAGTATATATTATTATTCATTATTAGTTGTATTAAACAGAAGATAATCACGGTTTCACCTTTACGCTTTCTTATTTCAGTAGATAATAGAAGCTAGTCCATAATAGATGGATTTTCAATACATCATGCTCTCTTTCAGATAAATAACCGTAGGTGTAAGATAGATGAGAAAATATTATGCGAATAATTATGACTAGAATAAATCAGAAATAAAAATGCGCTGGATGACAACTGGGCGTAGTCACAACACGAACAAACAAGCAGCTTATCCACGTAACGCGACACTTCGCTGATCAAGTATTTTTTTCGAAATTGAACAAAATCATTAGTGTCACGTTGTAGAGCCCATCCGATAGTGTCATGAAGTGTGCTTTTTACGGACCTAAAGCAAAGCTGAAATTATAAAAACGTTACACAAAATCAGTTTAATGCAAGTTTGCAGATCACGTTTTTTTAGGGTGTTTTGTTAGACTTTTTTAACATTAAAAAATCGAGATAGGAATTCCTTCAGACATGGTCCATAGACAATCGACCACGCTCTTTCTTTTGGCGCACGAACTAATTGAATCCGATGCTTTGTTATCTCACAGTGGATGAAGAAATACTTAATAAAACTCAATGTAATTGCGTCACGAAAACACCTAATTTTAAAAATCTTGTTATACGAACCATTGACTTTTCACCAAAAAGTAGTTCACTATAATCAGTTTTTAACGGCGAATCCAACGAACTACTTTTTTTCATTAAACAAGTGCATTTAATCGTAGAAAAGCGTGACGCAATTACGAAAACTTAATCAGTGATAGCGCTTTTTAGCGGAATTATAGAGTGCTATTTTTACTGGAATAAGCGAAATAATAAAAGAGTACTGATCAACTAAACGTGTGCTACTCAGATCTGCCACTAAGTTTACTGAGCACGTAGAGCATCATGTTTGAATAGAACTCGTTGACCTTCTATATA